TGGACTTCCATCGCCGTCGTGCTGAATCCTCAAATCGGACTACATCGCGACATGCAAAACATGGTTGGGAAACTGAACCATGCCATCACTCTTGGAAATTTCAATGGAGGTAGAGTCTGGATTGAAGACGAAGAAGGAACTTCTATCGAAACAACCAGCAAAAAACGGCAAAGTTCGTGAGCTCGGAGGAACATGGATCGACAGCCTATCCCTTTTAACGCGCGACGGTTTTCTAAAATTGAACCACCTGAAGGTTACATGTGGGCGGCATACACGCTGCAATCGTTTGAACGCTGCTCCGACTTCTTCTCAAACGTCCCTTTTCAGTGCCACAGAAAGGACTGAAAGACTGAGTAGGCCTTGTCGACGGCGGTTGTTGCCGCACTCGGTCGAAACGAAATCTACGAAAGCAACAATGAACCAAAAAAGCAACTAACAACGGTGAAACAAGCTGCGACCAACAGGCTAAGTCTGCAAGATCATTACCCGTCTCATATGTTTTTGTTTCTTCTTATTGGTTTGTGTCTGGTTCGTGTTTTTGTGATTTGCATTAACATGCATGTTTGTGCGAATGATTGCGGTCTTTAGTAAATTTGGTTCGAATTCGTCTTAATTCTTCAAGATCCAATGACAAATTTGGAGAACTGCTTCTTCCTTGCACAGTGCCTTAGTACCAGCAATTACGAGCATGTTGTCGACTACCGAGCCGATGTTTTGTCATTTGCACCACCCGAGCCTGCTAGAGAGATGTAAATGTGGCTGAACTAACGTGGCGGTTCCATATTTAGGACTTAGTGTTGTTTTTTGGCGTTATGTACGTTGTATTACAGTTGTTATAATGTGTGTAACATTGCGCTGTTGTTGGGTACTGTATTGCGTTGTGTTGTATCACATGCTGTGTGTTGCATGATGTTGTATTTGTGTTGTTTTTTATGGTGTTGTGCTGTATTGCATTCCCGCTGCATTGCTTTCAGTGCATTACCAGAGCGGTTCATCATGAATCTCATTGGAAGCAGAAAACTTTTGGTGCAAAGTGCCTGTCTGTGTTTGAGCGAGCTCTAGGCCCCGTGGTTGGGGCATGCACAATGGAGGGGCTTTCGCGGGAACATTCTCGGTGGGATCAGTAACAATGAAAACGCCAACATGTGTGTGAAGTTGTTCTTGCAGATTCTAGCACGGTGTGCGGGCTTTTGAGTATCCGGCAAAAAAGGCGGTAGTTGTTCGGACTGAGTTTGTTGAGTTTCTTGTGGTGTTCAAATTCGCTAGATGACAGCATGTTTTCAATTTTTATCGCAGGTTGTTGCATGACTGAGAGCTGTTTTAAGGCTTATCCCTTCGATGATACTTGGCACAAGAGCTGCCAATTTTGTTTCCCAAGTGTTTAACCGAAGTGAAGCGCACTTCGAACACCATGAAAGCATGTAGTTTGCTGATTTTCGTGGCTCGATTGCATAGAGGTCCTGCTACAGGGTTGCAGTTCCGTCATGCGTGTTGTTCGCAGCAAGGTAGACCGGAAACTACAAACGAAATGCGGGAAAACTCCTACAAGCATTTACGGTGCTCAGTGAAGTGAGTCCTGAAGTTGAACACGAAAGAGTTTGGGCGGTATGTTCTTGCTGTTTTTGCGGCACGTGTCTGCTTTCCTGGGTTTTGAGTTGCTTTCTCAGGCCATTTGCAGTGGCGCAAACGGCGACACAGTGCGGCAAGGTGAGATCAAGCAGTGCATGAGCGCGACATGCAGGCGCATGTTTTTCCTTGCGAGTGGTGGGTAGAAATTAGAAAGTGTTACATGAAAACTATTGACCGTGCACCATCATGCACTGAGGCCGTGGCCCTTATCCGACATTTGCCAGCATGCATAGATTGTTGATTTGATGGCCTTTTGCCTGTCCTGCCAGCTCCAATGGCAATCCCGGGGACGAGATGGCCTTCTTGCAGCACAACACGCCCCCGAAGATGGCGTACGAGGTCTCACGGAACTTGCGCGCACGATTTGTCAAACGGTTCACACGCTCTCTGAGGTTGATTGACTTCTTACGTAATAAAAGGGGAAGAAGGTGGCCAACAAGGTTGAATTCGCCCAAACGCCGTGACTGCGTAGGTGCGTTGGAATTGTTTTGAGGAGGCTGTGACTGTGATCACAGCCTTCAAACTTAGTTAAAGCAGGTGACGTCCAGTCCTTCTGTTCTTGAGCCATAAGCTCTCCTGCCTCTGAGTCCTCGCAGGGGTCCCCGCAAGGGTGTACACTGTACAGGGGCACTTAAGGCTGGAACACCTAAGCCAGAAGACTAGCCATTCTTGCGCAGGAATTCCTTAAGAATAATTGGCCTCGCGGCTGGAACAGAGCCGGACAAAAATCTTTGAGCACAGACACAACGCTCCATGCGCCGACAATCCCAACTCTTGAAATGAGCTTCTGTCATCATTCTGCAGGATGGCTGCCTTTGGGGGTTTGGGATTTTGCAGATGAGCGTCCTGCAGTCCAAGCTGGCGTGCTCTCATGGAGCTGTAGTCTGACCCAAGCTCCATCAACTCCGTGGGTCAGACAAGTTCCATTTGTTACTTGACTTGATCCCTAACTCACCTTGCCAGTACCAATGCAGGGTCATCAACAGCTTTACAGACGCAAGTGGTTCCGGCGACGGCTCAGGTGCATGTGCGAGTCAGGGTCATAATTTGAGATGCCAGGGGGCAGGGTAGGTTACAATGTGGTGCTTCAGCTTCAGGTTGTACCCCATCAGACTGCACAGTCAAACACAGAGGTAGCGTTCTGGCCGCCCATGTTGTTGAAGATGATTCCGAATATTCTTCCGTCTTCACGATGTCTTCCATGTCTCTGTTGTGTCGTTCATTCTGACCACCAACACAAACCACCACCACCACTACAGACCACCACCACCGCCGCCGCCACCGCCGCCACCACCACCACCACCACCACCACCACCACCACCACCACCACCACCAAGACCACCAAGACCACCAAGACCACCAAGACCACCAAGACCACCAAGACCACCAAGACCACCAAGACCACCAAGACCACCACAGACCACCACAGACCACCACCACTACCGCCGCCGCCGCCGTCGCCACCGCCCCCGCCGCCGCCGCCATTCAAATGTGTTTTGTGTATTGTCATCCGGATTGGCTTAGATTGCTCAAGGAGTTTAAAGCTAATGACCGCTACCTGGCGTTGGTATGCTTGAACTTGCTTTCTGAGTCGAAACATGAGCAGTTTGAACAGTGCCTGCAATCGAGCAACCCATGGGGCCAACAATAATCGGGCGATTGCAGTCGTTTGCAGATCCTTTTGCCCTTGAGCGAAGTCTGATCAGGGCCAGGGGGGCAATCAGAGCAGAATAGTGGTGCAACGGCCAGGCATGGCAATGGCTACAAGTACGGCTACTACAGCTATTATCGGCCAACTGTCCCCCCGTCAACCACTATGTCATCAACCTCCTCGGCGCCAGAGGAGTCTTGTCGAAGACACATTTTTCGTTTGTGTCCGGTCATGGAATGTTTTGGTTTGCGTTTCTGGCTCGCTGACTGGCTGTGCTCAGGATCAGGGATGCCTACAATCCCAAAGCTCGAAACAGGAACCGGACCTCCCACAACTGGTAGCCCCCCAGTTCTTAAATGTCAAGCCCCCAGCGAATTGCCACAAGTACATATCAGGCTACTGAAGCTCCGCCACCTGTTCCTACCTTCGTATTGGGCGATCCCCACGACACCTGCAATGACTACTGCCAGTTCAACGAGTTTGCTGGGTGTAACTTGACCCAAATTCAATCGATAGACACGGAGGAGGAGCTTGCGATGACCGTTCAGCAGATTGGCCAGGACGAGGGCACGAACTTCACCTGCCTCACCAACAACAGCATCTTCAACCAGGGCGTTTATTTTGAGCCCAGAAGGGGAATTTGCTCCCTCAGCAGAAACGGGGTCAACTGTTCCCACAATACACGCGAAGAAGTCCGCCCGTTGTGCTTTTGCACTGGCACAACGTCGACCACGACGCCAGCGGCTTGCTTGCCAAGATGCATCCCCTTCCCTGACATATTCAATTCTCTGCAGTCTGCATGGAGCGAATAAATCCCGACGAGTCATTTCATGATATATATATATATATAACATTATAGTATAGTATATACACTATATTATACTTTAGTATAGTATATTATATTATAGTACATTACATTATAGTATATTATATTTATATTATATTACATTATAGTATAGTATATTATAGTGTATTGTAGTATATTACATTATAGTCTATATATCATAGTATAGTATAGCATCGTACTGCTCAGCCCAGTCTCCGGCCTGGACTTTGGGCCCGCGGGGAAGCTCCTGTGATTCCGTCTGCCAGGCGGAGGGGCGACTTGGCGCCAGATCAGATCCGTGGGTTTAGGGTTTAGGGTTTGGGGGTTTAGGGTTTGTGGGTTTAGGGCTTTAGGGGTTTAGGGGTCTAAGGGCTTGGGGGTTTAGGGGTTTAGGGTTTGGGGGTTTGGGGGTTCAGGGTTTGTGGGTTTAGGGGTTTAGGGTTGAGGGTTTGGGGGTTTAGGGGTTTAGGGGTTCAGGTTGAGGGTTCAGGGTAGCATGGGCCCAGGGGTTGGGTAGGGGGTTCTTGCAGTCGTATCGCCAACCCTCAAAACGCGTGAAGCCTTTCGGGCAGATTCTGTTAGGCCCGCGCCCTGAGGAAGGTGTGCGACCCGGGCCCCATGGAAGAGATCGATCGGATCCCGCGGGCCATCCGCCTCTTTGAGGCCCTGAACATCAGCTGCCTCTCCGGCCGTGGGAGGTTCAGCCGGGCCCCGACCTACTTAAGAGGCCGGGCCGATCAGGGGCTTTGCCGTGGTTTGGCTTGAATCCGCAGTTGGGGCTTAGGGTTTAGGTTTGCTCACCGCCTCCAGGAGTCAATGTGGTCAGACAGGAGTGCGCCTACAACAAGAATCCGACCAATTGCAGTCTGAATGTGGACAGCTCTTTGGAGCCGCTGTGCTATTGTGTCTAGGGAATCTCGGCCGCCATTTGGCTGCCGTGGCAATGACCATCCGATCTTGGAACAAGGAGAAAAGTGACCGTGGCCAACCCTCAAGAAGCCCGACCGACGGAATGAGGTTTGATGGTCATATGTGTGGCAGCCAATAGAGTGCTCAAAACAATGTGTTGCCATCGCCAATTCTTGTCGCTATAGAGGTCCTCTGCCCCCTCGACACTTCGGCGGCATCTGTATAGTTGGCCTTTTGTGACTGTTGCCTGGTGCATGCTGCTGGGGTACAGGATGAAATTCATGAAGCCATCGGTCGCACAGCCATGACCGATTATCTTTGTCCCGTATGTAAGGTCCTCAATTCGGTTTGCCATGTTTGACAAGGTTACCAGCTAGCAGCTGAACTTGGAAAAGTTGATATTGATGCTTTAAACTGTCCCGGCAGTATTTGTTGGCCCAGCTGCAACGAGAGCTTTTTGACGAGCGAGACGGGTCGTTTTGGGAGCTTGGTGTGTTGAACCCCAAAGACAGCCTCATGATTTAAACAAAAGGGGTGAGGCACTGCAAAACAACAGTGTTGTAGCGGTTCTTCAGTCTTACAGCTTTGTGTGACGACTTTCGCATACGTTGACAGCAACCAGCTCAGTCGCGTTGGCCGCTGGATTGGCCACCGCTGTGGCAGCTTCGACAGGCCGTCCGGAACTCGGTCTTTGCTTCTCGCTGATGGGTTGGCCAGGAAGGATGTCGAGTTGCGCAGACGATTGTCGTATGTTTTCGCAGGCAGTAGCCATGTTGATTTGCTCTTGGCCAGGCGCGACAGAGCGTGCGACAGCCCTTCGTATTGGTGCCGCTTGGCGCCATGGCCACGGTGTTGGCGCTCGGCGTCCGGTGCCGATTAGCAACTGGTGCCGATCTTTGTAGCAGCCGCAACGACAGCTACAAAAGAAGCGTCCGGCTGAAGAATATCTGCAAGCTGCACTGCCCTCTGTCGCTTCCAAATCGCGTGTGGTGTCAAGGGCCTTTGGTGGTAAGTGGATGCTTCCCACCAGCTAAAGGGACAGTGGTGTTGGTGGCATCGGCTACGAATCGGACGGCCATGTCTAGAGATGGTTCACCATAGCGGCTGCTTGAGGCGACAGCGTTGTCTCTTGACCTGTTCAAAGGGGTCCTGTGCAAGAAGAACGTGGTAGCACGGACAACTCAACAGTCCATGGGTCTTTCGTGGAGCGCTGGTGGGAAAGTCTTTTTTGGCAATGATTTGGCTTGCTATGCTACATCGAAGGAGCTGCAAGCGTTAGGCGTTGTTGCTGCTACGACCGTGTCCCTCGGCAAGTTATCTGATTCTCCGCCTCGTGGTGTTAGTGATCTTCCGCACTCTTTGAGCGCGCAGCGTGTAGATGAAGATCTCGAGAAGATCTTGCAAGAAATGGACATTGTCAGTCTCACGTAGTCAGAAGGGGCGCACCAATGTGCGCACGAATGCTTCCCCTTTCGATAAAAGGACTGGGTCCGAGTGTTGAGTGATTGCATGTCAATCTGCTTTACGACTTTGTGTCTTCAATGGTGGTATGGGTCCATGTTTATGTTTCATGCCCGAGAAACAAGAGGTACGCTGCTTTCAAGGCCACACCCCTGCAAACAAAACGAACGCACGTGTAAAGCGCAGACGTTTGAACTGGCGAGGCCGTCTGTACGACGGCGCACCTGCAATTCAGGCTTGGTTGACATGAGAACTTTGATCGTAAGATATCGAAGGATCGGTTTTGCTTGCAGCAGGGTTCAGCAAACGAAGCGAGCTCCCCCTTGACAACATACTTTCTTCATTGGGAGTTAGTTGGTATTTTGCTAGTTCCTTCACATTTAAGCGTGTTACCTATGTCGAGCATCTTTCTCCCCAGTATTCCCATTCTAACGTATGCTTCTATTGCTGGTTTTATCTCACCATGTCGCAGGCCTGCACGTAGGCCTTCCGACCTGCAGAATATTTTTTCCACTGGAACTTGGAGGGGATGGTTTGAAACTCGAGCACCTCGTGTCGGCATGGAGACATTGCTCAAGTCACAGTTGAGTCGCTGGGAGGCCTTTCCCAATCCAGCAGTAGCGCCTGTTCGTTCCTGCATGGTGTCGCTCAAGGTGACCGTTGTTGACGGCAGCCTGGGCGAGTTAAAACCGCACGAGGTGGTCGAGTGGGCGAAGTACCGAGGAGTAGCCCTCACCGAAGCCAGGTTGAACAAATACTGCTGCTACTACTACTACTACTACTACTACCACTACTGCTACTACTACTACTACTACTACTACTACTACTACACGACGACGACGACTACGATTACCGCTACGACTACGACCACGACTACTACTCTTCCAGCTACTACTACCACTACTGCTACTACGACGACGACCACCACCACCACTACCATTACTACTACTACTACTACTACTACTACTACTACTACTACTACTGCTACTACTGCTACGACGTCTACGACTGCGATTACGATTACGACTACGACCACGACTACTACTATTGCTGCCACAACAACAACAACAACTACTACTACTACTACTACTACTACTACTACTACTGCTACTGCTACTGCTACTACTACGACAACGACCACTACGACTACTACTACTACTACTACTACTACTACTACTACCACTAACACTACTTCTACCGCTACTGTGTACTTGTACTTCTACTTTCACTTCTCGCCTTCCAGCAGCCTCAGTGTCATAGATTGCCTCATAGTTCTGAATACCTTGCGATGCTCCTACGATTGGAATAAAACATGACCACTGCACTGCACTGTCACAGGCGGCGGCATCGTCTGGCAGCACGCATGCTGAGGCCGGGGTGTCCTGGCATGGCAGTGTGATGAGTCCATCCCTCGAAACGACAACTCTTGCTACACACATTTTTTCGTTGCATAGACCGATCAAATGCTGCAGACGCAAACATTTGCCAATCTTTGAGCGCTGACGGTCGGTGGGGGTAGGCGCAGATGTAAGCCTGCATAGGCAATTCCGTCCCCGCCGCCGCCTCCACCTCCACCTCCACCTCCAGAAGTCATGGATCGGCCTGGTGGAGACTTACCACAGGAAAGGACTATCAAACCAAAGCTAATGTTCCTGACCAAGTTCGCTGAGCAGAGAAAGGAGCTGTTACGGATGCTGCGCGAAACTCATCCCTCATTCTCGTTCCAGGTGAACGACAAGGAGAAAGCTGTGCAGGTGATTCGCGGTGGAAATGGCTCAGATGTACCAATCCCGGAGAAATGGAGGTCGGCACGGCACATCGTCAAGGACTTCCTCAACAAGATCTGCGCGGACAAAGTGCTCACCGTCGCAGGAGTCACTGCAAAGCAGCTACTGGATAACAAGCAACTCCTCGACTTTGCATCGAGCTACGAGGTCCTTCCATTTATCATTTCTCGCAAAGGCGACCAGGAGGAATCGTACGTGCTCAGAGGGAATGAGATCTTCGTCAAGGCAGAAACTCCTGATGATACGTTTATCAAGGACAGAACTCAAGAGAAGTATGGGATTACTATTCAGTCTGTGGGGCGCTGGGGCAAGGAGATGATAGCAAGGCTGTGTCTCAAAACGCATCCGGAGGGTCCTGCTCTTGAAGAGGCCAAAGCGAAGCTCCTGAAAGTGAGTACGGGTTCTGTCTGCTTCAAGGCAGTGCCTTTCGAGGTCCTTCTGGTAATGACGTGTCCGAAGCCGCTTGGATGTCTGACAAGTTTTGGGGTTTGGCGACTGTGTCCGGTCCTTCAAAAGTCGCCCTTCTGCCATAGTTAGAACTCTTGCTGTGCAGCTCAGGCATTGGGGCGATACCGAGCTTGAGCTCTTCAAGAAACGAGTCGGTTGCAAGTTTAAGCTGGAAAGCGGTCCCCTGCCACGTGCGCAGCTTGCTGACTCCTTCACAGCACACCTGGTGTCCTGCACCCCTGCCACCAGGACAATGCATTTTTGAATGGCTAGCAGCTCGAGGATCTAAAATTGGAGGCAACAGTCACGCGACGCCGCGATCAGATTTGTTACCGGCCTGTGTGCTTGATTATCTGATTCTCCGAGCATGTAGCATGTCGTATAGGCGGACTGGTCCCGTTTCCTCCTGCGCAGGACGAAGCTGAAGGATTGCAAAGAGCCTGGCGTAGCTTTCGCTCTGCCCGATGTCGACGCGTACACCACTGTCGTCCTTGTCTGGCGCAAAGGCAAAGAGTCAAATGCCGACCTTGTTGAGGACTATCTGCAGAATATGACCTGCCCCACTGCGCATTCGCAGACCGCACGCCCGCATGAGATTGGGCAGACTGCTCAGGTCAGCCTGCTGACGGGGCACGTGAAAGAGCAGCAGGAACAGTATAACCTCTGGAGGTACTCGTGGAGTGCGATTGAGCAGCAGATATGGGACCTCTTCCGCGTTGAGGTGAACCTGGAGCACAAGCAAACCAGGCCTGCTGCCAAGCTGACGGGAACTGCCGCCGCCCAAGCCTCTGACTGGCTCAAGGCTCGGGTACGCCAAGTTGTCGTGCAGCAGCACAACTTCCAGAAGGTGAAGGAGAGGTACGCGCAGTGGCGCCGTTGTGCAATGGACGCTCTGAAAGAAAAGACTGACATGCTTGGCCCCGCCGGCTCTGCCGCGGAAAGGCAAGATACAGCGGGCAACATCGGCTACTACATTTATGCGGATGGAATGTTGAAGCTAGCATGCTTTCGTGAGGATGAAGGGATGTGCCGCCAGATCTATGATGAGATTTGCTCCTTCTGCTTGGATTACAAGGAACTGGAGTGGTGCATGCCTCCCAGGTCGACAGTACCGGACGACCTGTGGCGAAAGTTTGGCGCAGTAAGGAACACGCCAGAATTTCTGCAGAACCTGAAGGCCAGTTTCAAGCTGGCCATCGTTCCGGAGTGGCACGCAAGTTCGCTTCGATTGTGCGGGAGGGGTTCGCATGTTGACGCAGCCTTTGGCAACCTCGATTGCCAGCTGGGTGTGTGGACAGACCGAAGGATTTTGAACATGCCGCACATTGATGCCTCTTGGCCGCTTACTGCTCTTGAGCTGCACAACTGTGCAGTCGGTTTGACGCGAGAGAAACTTCAACCACTCAAGTCACGAAACCAGGCCGATGCACCAAACTACAATTTGAGTTTCGATTCGTTTGATGCTAGGCTCCAGATTCCAAAGCCGATTCCAACTGATTCACTGACATGCTGCACCCTAGGGTTCGGAGAGATTGGCCGTACCAACGATGTTGTCTAATGCTACCAATGCACCTCGAACACCGTGGCATATGACCGCGTTGAAGTGTTTTAGACTTTCTTCGCACCTTCACTCCAAAAATCGCCCGTTGCAGGCGGCGCTATTCTGGTTTCATGCCTGCCACACGAAGATGCACACACTCATCTATAACCCGATGGATGCTGCTGTCTTGCCCGTGGTCCAGTCGCTACCTAGTGTGCCACGAGTTGATACCAGATGCCTTGTAGTACTCCGCAGATCCGGTGCGAGGAAGCGTTGGAGGTGAAGAAGCTTGCAACTCCTTGGGCCTCCGTGTCGTTCAGTTGTGTTGGCGCTCTGAAATGGGTCCCCACGTACTTCCGAAATAGAAATCTGGGGAGCCAAGGCTGAGAGGCCACCGCGACCGCGCCCGGCGCCACGGCGGGAGGCTGTGTTGAATGCTGATGGAAGGGGTTGCCCATCACTGACCTACTGCCCCAAGAGTCTGCGTAGTCGCCGGCATGGTCCCGGAAGCACATGTGTTGATGAGAGCACGATGCCCGCCAGGGTCGCTTCGACCTCGGTCCTGGAGCCAAGCCTTTGGGGCTGCAGGTGAGCAAGAAGTGCGACGCACTCTTCCAGGAGTTGCAGAAGCCCGAGGAGTATCCAGACGTCGACGAGGAGCTCAAGCGCCTCTGCCAGGGGGCGAGGGAGAGCGCGCACCCGGTGCTGCAGCTGAGCGTATTCGGCCTGATGGAGCCAGCGGACATCAAGGCCTTTCTCTCCTCCTCGGACAACCGCTTCTACCATGAGATCCTTGGCAAGACAGAAAAGTTCTTGACGTACCTGCACGATAAAGATATGGCCACAGCTCCGGTTTGGAGGGTGCAAGAGATGACGCCAGATGCCCTGAACAGCCGACTGCGGAGCCTCAAGCCAGTTGTCATGGACCAGACTGTGAGGGAGCCAGCAACAAGCACGCCGTTTGGGCATACAGGCTACGTGAAATACCTAACGCTGAAGATTATCCAGGCCATGGGCTTCAAGGACATCGCGATAACGGGGCTCTACTACAAGGACTCCTACACCCCCGAGACGCAGGTTCTCGAAGAGCTGCAAGCCCGTGGAGAGAGCATGGAAGGCATGGTCGCGATGTTTGGCCCTGGCGATGTTGATCGCAAGGCGGGTCTGGCTGCCGTGAAGGAGTACCGGATCCCGAACGCTTTCCTGGACCTCACGCTCAAGGCAACGGCATCATTGCAGCATGGTAGCCGGCAGCAGCGGGAGGGAACCAGCACTGTCCACTAGTGCAGGGTTCCTTAAATCATACAGGG